AAATAGTCTGCTTTGGTCACACCTTTAACCACTTCTTCACAACATTGCTTGTACATCTCTGTCAGAGCCACTCTCATGAAATTGTGGCATGACAGTATTGCATATGGTTGTCCAAAGCACACACCAGATCTCTCAACCGCTATAGCTGGGGTAATGTCATAAGATTGGGTTCTTCCTCTCCAGGCTGTGGAATATTGGAGATTGACAGCATCGCTCATTGTTGATCATGAATGTCGTAGTTGATAGGGTTTTGTGACTTTGTCTATTCTGTGTCTTCATCAGTTGGTTATTAGTCATTCTGTGATGGAGTGGTAAAAAAGATTTGGCAATCTTCCACGATTAGCAGATTTAGCATAATTTTTTTTTTTTATCCAAGTCTATTTATTCAAAACCAGTGTTCCCAAACAAGTGAACTGACTACCTTTTTCGCAAGCTATTTTTGCTACACATCTCTTCCTTTATCCACCATTAAATGGCACAGATTTTTTAAAGAGCCACACGCACAATACAGAATGGCCTCTATTACTCATCAGCTCACATAAATCAGAACATATGTCATAGTATAAAACAACAAAATGACTTTAATAACAATAATTTTCTGTGAACTAAAAACTCTTAAGTATTGTGTGTCTTGAAAAACATATTCTCACATTAAGTTCAGTAGTGGTTGATATTAGCTAGGCCTCCACCTAAAAGTTAATTAACCTTTAGCCAGCAATAGAAAATCCTAATTAACCCCAGTTTTTGTCATTGTCGATCATTTGCCATGTACTTATTTCACATTTTGTCAAGTCATGATTTGAAGCAACCATATCAATATCTGACGACATGTTCATTGGGCAAGAGGCGGGCAGACCCTGGAATGGTCAGCTGTCCATTTAAGGGCTAGTGTGTTCTATCTATAAAAACACCAGCCACTAGTACACTCTATATCATACGGGAAACAAACAGCTTTCTGTTTGCTTAAAACTGAAACTGGTGAAGGACCAAGAATTGCTGTTTTGTCATTTTGCGTAGTGTAAAGGCAGCACTCTACTTGCTGTAAAGACATGCTTGTTTTCACTGTGGGTGCTGGGGTCATAGCCAAGAGCTGAAACTGCTAATTTTAACAGAAACCCACATTCCGTGACTGTAACGTGTCAGATGGAGGCTCTTAAGAGCAACAACAATTTGCAGATTATCAGGGATTAATTTGACTGATTTTTAAATGTGTGATGTAATTGTAATTACTGAAAACACCTTCAGATCACCAATAATTAACATGGTTCTGCTTACAATGGAAAATTATTTAATAATCCTCTCTTTGTTTTAAAAACTTTTAAAAATGACTGAAAAAGCCTTTAAATGCGCTGCCTTTCCTAGAAAAACAGCAAAATCCCTCATGGTGACTGTTTACTCGTGCTTTCTCTACACTCCTTATAAATAGCTTCTGTTAAGGAAATCGGGACCATGGCTAATAGCAGAGTCCATCATTGTCATCTGCCTGTCGTTACAAACAACTTTTTTTTCTCCTCCTGCTTTTTTAATAGTAATGGTATGCTTTGAAGAAATCCAAGATTTACTCAAAATAATGGATGGTTGGCAGGATCCCAAATCTGTCCTCCTGTCAGAGCAAGTCGTACCAAACTGTGGAAGAAGGAAAAGAGGGCAGTGCTGGCAAAGTTCTAAACACTTCCAGATGCTCCAGACTGTTCTGTGGGAGTTTAGCAGAGAGAAAAATGAGCTGTTGGCCAAGCATCGAAGGCCTGAAGGACTATTTGTAATATCTACCCTCTTATTGGGTTTGACTAATGATGGGGCTTTTCATGACCAGTACTTGTAATTTGAGCACTGAGCCTACAAACAGTGGTTCATTTGTCCTAGTATTAATCAGAATTACACAAGATGAAGAACAGAACTGATGTGTTTACTCATCATTTTTAGCACATTATGGATGATAGAGGAAGTTGTTAATTAGGCAGCTATTGTAAAACTGCTTGTTTTGAGTCTTTTAACGATTCTCTTTTGTTAAGCTGTGTGATACTTGAGCAATGTGCTCAATCATTTCTCTCAGACTAATAGCTTGTTTACTCACATAGCTTATATATAGGCACACATTACAGTTCTGTGTCAATATAAAACAGCAACAGAAAAAGTGCCAAACAAAGACAGATCACAAAATGAAATGGGTAGATCAAAACACAAACAATTATAGTCTAAGATTGATTCCTTTAAGAAAACAGTTCCCCTATCAACAAATGTAAGAACAGAGGGAATCTGTGCGTTTAACTTCTGGTAACATGTTTGTGTACCTTTATAGATTGCACACAGATTTAAATGAAAACCAGCATCGTACAACATAAAACTGTTATCAGTATTACCATGTCTGAATACAACCTAGCTGATGAATTTGTAGTATCTTGTGGTTTCTCAGATCAATGTAAGCAGTGGTTAGCAAACAGGTGGCATGTCTTCAGTGTGGGGTTTTGAATAAATGACCTAGCAGTGCAATGATAAATTAGCATCTTATTTAAGCTGTATAAAACAAACTAAACTTAGTTATACATGACTGAACACACAGACGCTCAGCAGGAAAGCATGTAAAAGGTACTGAAACCACAGAGTTAGAACCTAATTGTGCCAATGCTATTTATCTACATCTTTCAGCAGTTGTTTTGTGTATGGTATGAAGAAAACTTATAGTTTTCTTCAGTTTAAACCCCCTTTTCACTTTTTTAATCATTGTGTGACTGTTGTTGTGTAGCTGTCAGTCTCACATAAAAAAAAAACATAATAAATGAAACGTCACAAGACTGGAATCCTAAAATAATTTGAATGAGATTGCAGGTTGAACTTTATGGGGTAAATTCACTTTCACTTACTTCAATTTGTAATAGAAACAAAAAGAGATTGGACAGAAAGGTCAAAGGTCACAGAATTAAATGAGTTGCCCCCTCTGCATTTGAATTTATCCATCCATCCATTATTGTAACCTCTTATTCCCTAATGGGGGCACGGGGGCATTTTAATTTAATCTAGTAGAACTATAAGGAAGGGATTTAGTAGAAATACGTTTTTCAAGATTATTATAAATGAGTTAAATTTAGTTGACTGAAGTATGATACGTATAGACTGTAAAGAAAAATAAAAAGTGTAATTTAGGCATTGTTTGAAGCTTAAAGTGAAATGCTATCTAAGCTGGAATTGAACCTGGGACTATTGAGCAGCAGTCCAACACCTATTGCAATGCACTACTTGGTGTCACAAGTGGTCCCACTAATGCAGTTGAACTTACTGTCATTTTTAATATAGACAGTTAATTCTTAGAGGGTCATTGGGCAACAGCCTTCCAATAGATTTGAGTTATATGGTGGCCAAAGCTAACCAAACCCAGAGAGAAAGAAGCCACTGTAACTCTGTGCTATCCTCTAGGAACAAGTTAGACTTGTGTGACACAGAGAACAATGCCAGCAATTTTAAGGAAAGGTTTCCCTCAAACTAATGCCCACTGTTAAAAAACTATAAGTCCTATCATAAAACCCTTGAACTGTGAGTGATCCCTTTCATTTTTCAATTGAGACACAAATACCCAAACAGCAGCAATTGGGAAAAATGTTCACTCTTCTACTTCCCTACGGGACAAAAAAATCTAATAAAAAGCTTAATACCTCATAAAGTTGAAGACACGTGAACACCACGAAACATAGCACACTTTTCATGACTGAGCTGCTTAGTTTGACCTTCGACCTCAGTGGCTGAAATCGGCTGAAGTATGCAGGAGTAGTTTGATTCACAAAAACGTATGTAATAGAATAGAAAGTGGGGAAAAAAACTGGAAAAGAATTCATACGTTGCATTGTATTTTGTAAGCATATGCTTTAGTGTTATGAACATGTAAAATTATGGGTCATTAAAAAGGTTAAGTCTGTGTTGCCAGCAATCACTGGCTTGTTTCCAACAAGGAAAAATTTCCGTAGAACAATTTGTAGGAAAACAATGAGATAGAATGGTGAATCAAACATGTGTCCACTGCCTGAATAAAAACATGAGCAAGCGGTTGTCGTCAATGGAAACAGAAGTGGAAGATGAAAAAATAGCTTATACAAAATACTCCAGAAGATACTTTCTTCTTTGAAATTCTTAGATATTTATATCTAGGAGTTTCTGTTTGCCAGTTCAGTTGTGCTTCACTAAAAATGTTCATTTCCACCGAGGGAAATTCAGTCTTTTTCAAAACAGATGAAATCCACCTAAAACAAGACTTTTTTATTTATTTACATTAGTGGATTTTCTTTTCAACATGTAACATTCTCAGTTGGCTTTTCTTAAATATGAAAGGTAGGGTTTTTAGGCTAGAAGAGGAAAACTGGCACAGTTTTCAAATTATGGAGTGTAACATAAAACAGCTTTGTTTTATTTTATATCTCATTTATCTCACCTTAAAAAGTCAGTGTCCCCTGGGCTTAAACGACACAATTTTGTAGCTGATCTAAAGCAGCCAATGCTGTTCTGTAACTTCTGCCTCTGAAAACCTATTTGACACACAAACACAGATTTCTTCCAGAATTCCCAACAGGCATTTCATGCTGAGCTTAGCCATTTACTGGCTCACTTGTCCCCCGCCGGCCCGGGCATACTACCGCTGTCTGGCTATTTTTATACATCCAGGAGGACACGTCGGCATCCTTTCTCCAGCCCGCTCCTATAATTCCTCCCTGTGTCCAAACACACGCCGACGAGAAATGGGTCTGCTGTGATACTGTGCTTTATGACCGGCTGCTGTTTTACATGAGCAACTCCACTCACTATTATCTTATATCTACGCACTTCACATGCACACACATTCACACACTCTCTTTATCTCTCTCAATCTCTCTCTCTCTCTGCTGTGTAAATGATGAAAGTAAAAGTAATTCAAGAAACCGATAGGGGCATCTGGCCTAATTCCAGCAGAAAATGAAATTGGTTTAGCCCCTCTCTTCCGACAGCTGTGTGAATGTGTGTTTGTTCCTGTATGTGAGGAGCAATAATCAAGCCGACAATGGAGCTCGGCGGCAGCCAGCTGCCCTGCAGTGAAATGCCAACAAGCAGTGAGAAAACAGTTCTCAACACCTTCCTGTTTATGTGTCTTATGTGTATATGGTTGCATACACACACCAGAGACATAAGTAATATAGATACTAATCATAAAGCTTGTTTTTTCCTTTCTTACAAATGCAGTCTTTGTTACACAAACTGTCGGCATGTTTCCTAATCTTCCAAATGGATAAGAATTTTAAACTCAAGCGTTGTGAGGCTGATTTAACAAATGATAATCACAAATTTAATTTATTTACTGGCTGGCTGCTACAAAGAGAATTAGCTCTCACTCTCAGAGTGCCTCTCTTCTGTTAGAGCTTATGGCAGATTGAATTTCATCTCCTCCTTGTTTGTTTTATTTTTTTTCAATGTAGCGCTGGGCCTAAAGGAGACAACATCTACGAGTGGAGGTCAACGATTCTGGGCCCACCAGGCTCTGTGTACGAAGGAGGAGTGTTTTTCCTGGACATTGCCTTTACACCGGACTACCCCTTCAAACCACCCAAGGTGAGTGATGCCCCGCAGCTGTGCAACACAGAGCCCCCCCAACCCTCGAGCAACCCAAAGGAAAGGATTGACCTTTAAATAATGCTGTCTTTGTTCTATAGAACTACCAGCTTCTCAATCTTGTTGTCAAATACAGTTGTACAGTAAGTAGTTTTAGGCTTGTTTACCTGTAAGCTCGCTGACACATGGTGAAGGATGGCCCGAGATTAATATTTCTATCAACACCCATGCTTATTTCTATTTTAAATATCATGAAAAAGCTCAAAATTTCAAACTTGTTTTGTATTTCTCATATCTATTTTATCTATTTTTCAAGATTTTATTAATTTAACATTTGTTGTTCCACTATCAGTGATGAAACAAAAAACATTTTTGTTTTTGAAAAAAAAAACACTATACATGACATTTCCAATGTTGTGCAGAGGTCTTGATCAACCCCGTATACGCTAACAGTTCTGCAGACATTCTTTAATTTTCTTTGGACATTGGCTGCTTTCTCTAGTCAATATTAATATTTTCAGGGTGAAATATTGTTTTGTTTGTTAAACCACATAACACTCCCCTATGAAATATTCCAACATATAAAAAAAAGCCCCCAAGTCAAGGGATTAACTTTTGTTTTGTCTAAACCAAAAAAACAATATAGCAAAGATACAGTGTTATCCCTTGAGGCACTTTCCATCCCATTTCTTTAGTTCTGTCTTTGAAAAAGTTTGACATAAAACACTATTAGCAAGGAGATTCTCAAAGGAGCTAATAGCAAAACACTTTGGTTGTCTTATTATGGTGTCATGTTTGTTCTAAAAGAAAATGAGGAAACTCAACACTTGAGGTGGCAGCCCAAAAAAAACTATTTTTAATTGATGAATAAGTATGTTCTTATGGAAGGATGAGTCCTCAACAGAGCCTGACATTAACATTAATGAAGCAGTTTGGGATCATCTTGACAAAGAACAAAAAGAAAGGCAGAGGAGTTTCTGAATATCTTTCTAGAACACTTTGCTGGAGACTAATTTAATGAATGTCAAGAAAGTTTAAGAGGGGGATTCAGATACGTTTTACTTTTACGGCCATTAATGTTGTATTTCCATTTGGTGACATGTTTCACTAAATTATTGCAAATTTCCTGACATTCAATAGCTAAATTAGTTGCAGTTTAAGAGTTTTGCATGGCACTGATTTTCTTTTAGTGTAACTTTTAGTCTGCCTCCTTACTTTATATTTGGACCTCATTCAACGACTCAGTAGAAATGTTTGTTTTTTTAAGACTATTCGCAGTAGTAGTCGTTTTTTTGTTTTTTGTGTCACTCAGATGTCTATTGGACCAAGTTAACTACTAGAATGTGTTTGAGGCAATGAGGCGGTTGTCATCCAGTGCACCTGGGACGTGTTTTCAGTAACCAGTTGAGGTGTACAACGCAGTTATTGGAGACTTGGAAATGAATCATCTGACTTTTTCAAAAGCAAACAATGTCATCATTCCTACTAAAGAATTTCTGCTTATTTGACCTCACTGTAATATGTTTGCTGGAGCTTTTAGCATTATTTTGGATTATGGTACTTACACTGAGTCTGCGGCTTTCAAGGATGACTCAATGTGTTCAGCTGATGCAAGAGTGTGTGTTTGCACAGAAGACTGGCTGACAAGCGTTACCATCTCCCCTTGCTTTGAGTCATGGTTCTGCTTTTTCCACAGCTTTTGGTTTCAAGTTATCAAAAAATTCTTGCTATGTAACCACTAATTATTCAAAGTTTTTCAGTCAAGCATTTAGAAATTAGAGGAAATGTAAAAAGTAAATTAAACATGAAAATGACATAGTAGTTTTGTATTTTTTTCTTTATTAAATATATAAAGACGTTAGTATTTTTAAAGTTTGGTCTGTATTCCAATATAAAGATTTGTTTTATTTAATTTTGGTGAAACTTATTTTTCTGGAAAGGAACCGGCCTAAAAATAAATATTATTTATTGTTCAAAGGTTCTATTGGCCTTTGAGTTTCTAGTCCAGTCCATTTAGTCATTTGGTTTGATGTTCTTATCATCCCTGTTCCATTTGACACCATTTAAATTCCTGTGATATTAATTAGATCCTTGCAATTACCGCCACAACTATCTTCTAGGTCTTTATTTTAGTTTAGTGTTACCTGGCTTTGCCACAAATAAATCTAAAGAAACAGAATTGCCTCCTGTAATCTGCTTTCCACATTTCCCCACAAACACAAAGCAATTTCTCAATCACAGGAAAAATTGATGTAAAATTGATAATATCTATGCACATAAAATAAGTTATCTGTTAAACTGTTTAAACTCATTATAATTCAAGACATATATTGGCACGTACAGTGGGTAACTTTTGCATAGACATGCTTCGTTCACTTTCATCTCCGTTCAGAATATCCCCTTGAATTTAGTGTTAAAACATTTTATAATTTTTTCAGATTTTTCTGACGGAACCTTTTTTCAGGTCAATCGTCAATAAGATGGCAGGATGGCAGTATAACATAAAAGGTTATTCAAGTCATCAGTTGAAAATTCCTTTATTTTCCTATATTGCAATATATGTCAGAAGTTGTTCTGGCACAAATAATGCCTGAAACAGGGGTGAAATGGTTAAAGGTTTAAAAAAAAAAGAAAGAAAGGATTAAAAAGTTACAAAAGGTCAATAAGGTTTATTTTCTTTCCTTGATTATCGTGGAAAAGCTATCTACTGAAATGGATTAACTTGGATCCCTGATGAAGAATAAAAGGAACAGGAAGACAATAATGATAATATGGACACATAATCAACTGTTTGGGCCCCTTTATTAGGTCTCAAAACTCTAGGAGGGTGAGGGAGAGGGAGAGGGACAGGGAGAGGGAGAGGGAGAGGAAGAGAGAGAGAGTGAGAGAGAAAGGGAGAGAGAGAGAGCAAACGAAAGATAGCAGTGACAGAGACAGGATTGCAGTGCTGGTTATCAAAAGGAGGTGTAATCCAGGTTTATTGAAAATGTTTGACTGTTGGTTTTGAGTTTCTGTTTTTCTTCTACCACACCTGTCTCTGATAAATTCCAGCTTTCCAATGTTTTTTTTAGGTTTTAAGAGGTTCATAAAGTATAGCTGTAAATAAATATTCTATGTCAATGCCAAGGCGTTATAGTCTACATCAAGGTGTAGAAGTCCACACATCCTATGTATCAAGCTAACATTAGTAATAGAAGCAGAAGTGACTGATTAATGAACTCATATGCCAGTTGGAAACTAACAAAAATGTACTCCTTTTTTTACATGTTTTGAAATCCTTTCAAATCTGTTAGGTTAAAATGTATACGTGATTTTATTTCTATTAACCAATGTCTTTGAGGGGCCGACAAGTTTCAAACACCCAAAGTGAAACAGTATTTTTCAGAAAGTCTATTTCCTCCCAACAAGCTTAAAATGCCTCTCTCCTGGCAGTTTACACCTAGGGGAAACTGAACTCAGTTAATCTCTTGACCTCCTGTCACCTTGTTTTTCCAGTCTGGTTGTGAGCTGTGCCATCCACTAGCTCACCAACTCACAGCCACCAATCGGACAGCTGCAGGTCCTCACAACACTGGCTCACTCACTAATGTTAGGATGATAATACCAGCTAATATTGACATCATTACTTTTAGTTTGAGTCAAAGGATAGCAAGGACATTGTAATAAATATCAATGTTTCAGGGCCTGTACTTCAGAGATTAGATTAGATTAGATTAGATTAGATTAAATCAGATTAGATTACCTATTCTAACTCTTATTTCCTAATGGCTTGGATATAAATTTCTGTTAAAGTTAGAGTTTAGTTCCAACTTGTGAAACATACTGTCGAACACATGATGAAGTGCCATAAAGAAAAGATTTCAATTGAAATTTTATTGTCCTTTTTCACCAAACCAGTCGATTCCATCTTGTTTAAGTTATGTCATAGTTGACGGCTGCAATTCAGTTCATCTCTATTTCATTCCATGACAGATAAGTCCAGTGTCCATTAATTTTGAGAAGTTTGAAATATCATCTGCATGACAACTGTTTTAAAATCCACAGTGATTCATTTGAATCAGTCCTAGTGTGCAGATATGACGGGAATAGATGTCATGTAATAGATTGTCATATGCAAGAAGTGTGTAGTTAACCTTGTCTTTAGTCATATTAGGATAGTTGGATAAGGTGTTTAATATGTCTACTTTTTAAGATTTCACGTTGGTCAAACAAATATATTAAAATTGTACTACAAAAAACATGACATGTATGCTAGTTTACATGATATGTGTCAACACTTATAATGATCATGTAGCAAATGGTTGACACTGACGTTTATTGTCATTTTAAAAATCTGGAGCCTATTCCAGCGGACAATGGGGAGATATGGGGTAAAATCTGGACATGTCGCTAATCAGAGACATTCACTCAATTGACCTAACATGCATGTTTTTGGACAGTGGGAGGAAGCCAGGGCACCTGGAGGGAACCCACATAGACACAGGGAAAACATGCAAATTCCACACAAAAAGGCTCCTGGTCCCAAGGGCACTCGAACCAGGAAGCCTCTTGCTGTGAGGCGATGGTGCTAACCACGCCGCCCTATTTACTTACAATATTTTTCTTTAAGTGAAGTTCATATTGAAGTGGATAGACAAATTGATGATAGAAAAATCTTTTGTTCTCCTTTTTTAAATTCTTTTTTGGAAGCCTAACACAGCTGTCAGTGGACGAGAGGCAAATGTATACCCTTAACAGATTGCCAGTCCAGGACCACTGAGACAGAAGTTAACAGAAAACCATGACAACCACATTCACACCACCCCAAGGTTCTAAGGGTCCATTTGGAGTCATCAATTAACTTAACATTCATATTTCTAAATGTTTTTAGGAATACCCAAACAAACAAGCATGCAAACTCCAGACAGAAAGGCCTTCTATTCAGAATTTGAACCAGGAACACTCCTAGTGTGAGGCATTGTGACCCTGTTGCATTTGCACCGGAGAGTTCTTAAAATGTATATTTTCCATAAAACTCATTAGCTAGTCTTAAACAAGAACATACAGATATGTAAATCGTTTCTATTGAGATACATAAGTGTGACATAAAAACTTTTTTATGCAGAAGCAGCATCATAATCCATTATTATCAGCAATGATGGGATTACAGCCTGTTATTGGAACCTCACAGCAGAGCCAAACATCTGTTTCACAACTAATGCATTGCCATCATTACCATGCCATTTTAACCTACTTCAGCAGAGGTGTAAGGATAGACAGAAGATTTTCAGACTTCAGGCTTGAAATAATCTATTAATCACAAAATGTTCCCTTTCCTTGTCAAACATCCAGAAACCACTTTATGATATAGATAGTGTTATACTTTTTGTGCTGGCTGTGGATCACAAGTTATCCTCACCCAACAATGTGTGAAATATAGGGGGAAGAGGGTTTGATTTGTAAGCAAGGGTTAGTTGTTTCTCACAGGGAGGCACTGTGGAGGAGGACTGAACAGCTAATGAAAAGATAAAGGGGTTTGGAAATAAAGCTAGCAAGCTGCAGTCCTAAAGCAAACAGAAATAAGCCAAAATACTTGAACCATCTGTCGAGCTCAGCAGCCTCAGTGCAGAGGCAGCAGAGGTCAAAGGTCACTTCTTAATGAGGTTGTGCTCTGTGTGCTTATGTCAGGCTCTGCTGGACACTGGAGACTGTTTAACTCCAGAGTTGGCTATAGAAGATCACCAGGGACTATTACCTTAACATATAACCTCTGCACAGACTGCTTGTCATCGAATTGGTGGAAGCAGCAGCTTCAGTTCATCTCTGCCAGCAACATTTCACTGTAATTTTCCTTTAGTGGACTTTTAGTGCACAGTGCACTTACTACAGAGTAGGCCGAAGATAGGGTGTGATAATCTTCCTTTAACCTGGAAGCAACTTACTCCATTAGAGGTAAAAATTAAAAGCAATATATCTGAAAATAGAATATAATAAGAAAAATTATTTTTTTCTAGTAAATCAAGTAAATTCTAGTACATTTTGTTCATTGTAGATTTACTGTTATTATTAATTCCTTTTTTAGATTTATTTAAAGATGGCTTCTGACAAAACATTATGCAATTTCAAGAGTTTGACATGTCTCTTTTAGGAATGCTGTACAAAGTAAGAATGTTCGGCTATGTATGTCATAGTTGCGATTTTGGCATGGTTCGTAATCACTAATGACACCCAGCTGCGCTCAATAACCTCATGCCACTCACCTGTTTGTATATGTAAACCCTACTCAGCTCAGATCAAATCATCTGATTGCTTTACTACAGAGTTCCAGCATTTATTCCATGTACCAAGCGAATTTTTTGAGCCCATTTGATTTTTCATGACCACAAGGTTTGTCTTGCTCTTGTCAGATCAAGTTTGCCTGTTGCCATTCTAGTTTTGAACCCTTGGCTGTCCATTGGATTTTCTCATCTGCCTGACACTCCTCAGGCTTAAGCTGAGCGGTCCTCAGTTAACAGCGCCTGTATATCAGGTGTCCCCTACTCATGACCTCGTCTGATACCACCAGATCATTTTAAGGGTGAGCCTTCTCAGTGTCTAGCCTTCCTTTCCCAATGCTCATTCATTTTGAACTTCAGCCCTCTTCATTTCCCACTGAAGGATGTCAAGTGGCATTTGTTATATTCTTGCTTACTGACGGAGTGAAGTTATGGGAACTGCAGAGAGGGAGAGGAACAATATGATTGACTTCCACACCATCGCTTCTTAATGGAAGTGGAATAAGGAACCTCTGTGTGAGGCTTTCTATCAGGTTCTTTCTGAAGAGACTAAGGATGAAGTAACAACCAGGGATCCCCCTTGATCCCTGGAGGAGTTGCAGTCATTAGCTGCAACTTATTATCTCAGACTCCAGAAGCATTGACGACGTGTCTCGTACATCTTCTTTTTGATGTGGTCTCCCCAACACCACCAGTTTCTTTCCCATCACTCACTCCTCCACCGTCATCTCCAGTTTATCAGGCTATGGAGGAGCTTGGAAGAACAAGGATATCTCCACAGAAACGTCCCAGACGCCTTCAGAACCATTTATGATTCTACTGAGGTGGTGAAGCTCATACTGTTTCTAATTATCCAGTAAAAGTTTAGTCTCAGCAAAAGAGAGGGGTCCTGCTGAGCCAATCCAAGTCAGCCAACCCCCTCTCGAGACCATTGATTAAAGCCCAGATTTAGGTTCCTTCACAAAACCATCATTAGCATCATTCAGCCCTGTGTTGACTCTGGCTCGGACTAGAGGATGACACGGGAGTGGATTTTCACTCCTGTCCCGTCCCACTCCCATAGAAAGAAATCTTGTCCCGTCCCACTCCCAGACCAAAGTTTAAAAAATAATCCCATCCCATCCCGCTCCTGGTAAATTGACTCCCGCTCCCATCCCGCTCCCGTCTAAACTGACTCCCGCTCCTGTACCGCTCCCGTATATTTTTTATATATATATTTTTATATATAGCAAAGGGTCTGAGATCTTGGCTGCACATGCGAGCAATTTTGTCGGTCAGACGAGACTTGACACCCGACGGCAATTTTCGCTTGATGAACGAAGCGATGCTTGGCTGATTCTTTCCCGAATCTGCCTTGCAAGTGTGCCTCTTCAGACCGCTCGTCCCCCAATCACTCGCGTACTTGACCAACACTAAACAAGTCTTACAAGCAGCGTACACCGTGCTAACACCGTCACATTCCACTCTTTTAAACTTAAATAATATGTCAGACTTTCCGACCAGTTCTGTGAACTTAATAGAAATGTCGTTACATCTTACTTTCCGCTGTAAATCATTTTTTGCTGCATCGACGTCTCCGCGGCTGTTAGCTCCCTCCATCACTGCTATTTGAATTCTTGCGGTAAGCCGTGACAAAAAGCACCGATGGCTTCTGGGACCACTGGGTCATGTAGTTATTTTTTAATTGCGTTACATTGTAGGGATATTAAAAGGAAACTACAAAATGGTGGATTTACTCTTTTTTTTTTTTTTTCGTCTTTGCTATTGGTTGATTCCCGCTCCCGTCTGCTCCCGTTAATTATTTATCCCGTACCGTCCCAATCCCGTGATTAATAGCGAAGATGACTCCCATCCCGCAGGAATCCCACGGGAATCCCGTGACCCGTGGGATTCCCGAAAAAATGTCAGCCTCTAGCTCGGACACAGTTTATAGATAAAAGGTTGGTTGCCAAACTTCAACTGCCTCCTGTATCCCGAAAGAACCTGGGGGCAGTCTATGCAATTGATTGTCGTCTATTGCATAACATCTCTAGTATTAATGAACCTGTATCATTGATCATAGGGGGCAATCACAAAGATAGGATTAAGTTTATGGTAGTTGAATCGCCTGAAAATCCCATCATTGTAGGCCTCTCATGGCTTCAAAGACATAACCCCCAGAGTGATTGGGCAACAATCACTCCGGGGGGGTTCTTCTGCTTCATGTCTGGTCACAGCTGAGATTTCTGTTTCTCAAGTGCCTAACAAGGAATTCTATCCAGATTTATCTAAAGTACCTCAAGTTTACCATGACCTGTGGGAGGTTCTCAATCAATGTAGAGCCACATCTATACCACTGCATCGCCCTTGTGACTGTGCCATAGACCTACTTTCTGGAACAACATCCTCTAAGGGATTGCTTTACCCCTTGTCTAAACCAGAACGGGCTATGGATAATTACATTACTAAATCTTTATCTGCAAGGTTAATCTGTCCATTCTGCTCCCCTGCTGGTGCAGGATTTTCCTTTGTGACAAAGAGTGCCCCCGTGTCATTGCATTGATTATCAAGGTCTTATTACCATCAAGAAAAGATATATTCTGCCCGTTATGTCTTCAGCATTTGAATTACTGCAAGACACTGCCATTTTTGGCAAGGTGGACATTTGCAATGTTTATAATTTAGTTTGCATCAAGGAGGGTGATTGGAAGACAGCCCTCAACACTCCGACAGAACACTATGAATACCTCTTCATGCAATTTGGGCTAATCAATACCCTGAACACAACATAAATTGTGTGGCCAGACCATAAGAATCTCAAATACTGGAGAGTTTGGATGTCCTTATTTAAGAGGGTGGTGGCCTGGGGAGGGGGGGTGTTAAGGTGTCTGGTGGTTTTGGTCTTGATAAATCTTAACCTTTGACCTAATGGGAGGGGTGTGAACAGCGAGTGAACTGAGTGAGATGGGTCTCCCGCTATCCACCTCGCCCTCTGCTGGGATCTTCAATTGTGCAGAACACACACAGGCACCTGTTTGAGGCCTGTGAAGTGGTTCGCTGTGGGCACGATGCGCCTCCAGTCTGTGTTCCTGGTGTGGGCAGAGGATGCAGGGTACCACACAGTGATGGAGGGGATGAGGACACTCTCAATGGTGGCTCTATAGAAGACTTTCCGGTGGGTTGTTTGTTGGCCAAGGAAGACTCAATGGTTTACCAATGGACATAGCTTCTGATAGAGGACCTCAGTTTGTATCACATTTCTTGGGTGAGATCTGTTCCCTCTTGAAAATGTACATCAGTCTGTCTAGTTTTCATCCTCAGAGGACAAGGAGGTGGAAAAGAAGCTACGAGCTTTATGCTCCCAGGACCCTTACAAGTGGCCTGAGAACCTGCCCTGGGTGGAATACACTGTTAATTCCTTCTCCTTCAGTGCCACTCGCTTGTCACCTGTCTACAGTCATGGCCAAAAGTATTGAGAATGACACAGATATTATATTTTCACATGATCTGCTGCCCTCTGGTTTTCATGTGTGTATGTCAGATGTTGTCATCACATACAGAAATACAATCAATGCTTGAATTTTGTCAGAATTCCTAGGTTTTCATTTTTCCACCCATCTCTTGATGATTGAACACAAGTTTTCAATGGGATTAAGATAAGGGGAGTTTCCAGGCGATGGACCCAAAATCTCTATGTTTTGTTCCCTGAGCCAGTTAGATATCACCTTTGCTTTATGGCAAGGTGCTCCATCATGCTGGACAAGGCATTGTTCATCACCAAACTGCTCTTGGACGGTTGTGAGAAGTTGCTCTCGGAGGACATTCTGGTACCATTCTTTATTCATGGCTGTGTTTTTGGGTAAGACTGTGAGAGAGCAGACTCCCTTGGCTGAGAAGCAACCCTACACATGAATGGTTTCAAGATGCTTTACAGTTGGCATGAGACAAGACTGGTGGTAGCGCTCACATCGTCTTCTCCGAACAAGCCATTTTCCAGATGTTCCAAACAATGGGAAAGGGGATTCATCAGAGAAAATGACTTTACCCCAGTCCTCAGCAGTCCACTCCCTGTACCTTTTGCAGAATATCAGTCTGTCCCTGATGTTTTTCCTGGAGAGAAGTGGCTTCTTTGCCGCCCTCCTTGAGACCAGGCCTTGCTCCAGGAGTCTCCGCCTCACAGTGCGTGCAGATGCACTCACACCTGCTTGCTGCCATTCCTGAGCTAGCTCTGCACTGCTGGTAGCCCGACCCCGCAGATGAAACACTTTTAAGAGAAGGTCCTGGCGCTTGCTGGTCTTTCTTGGGCGCCCTGGAGCCTTTTTTGGCAACAATGACGTTGAGATGTGTTTTGGGGGATAAAGTTCATTTTCTAGGCAAATATTGACTTTGCAATTAATTGCTGTTATGCTTATCACTCTTTTTAACATTCTGGAGTATATGTAAATTGCCGTCATAAAAACTGAAGCAGTAGACTTTGTAAATATTAACATTTGAATCATTCTCAAAACTTTTGGCCATGAATGTATGTTGTTTATGGATTTTAACATCCTGTGTTTTCAGTCTAAGAGCAAGATGCCATAGTGCTTTCTGCCCATGCAGCTGCTCAACAGTGTATTAGAACCTAGAGCAGGGGTCACCAACCTTTTTGAAACGGAGGGCTACTTCATGGGTACCGAGTCACATGAAGGGCTACCAGTTTGATACACTCTTCTGAAATAATACATTTGCTCAATAATCTTTTAGTTATACTTTATTAATAATCATTAATGATACTAATCTGTGACAACAAAATGGGAAACATATCAATATCCACCACTTTATCTCTCAGCAACTGTTAAATTTTCAGATGATCACTAACTGAGACCACTACGTTTACATAGGAGTTTTCACTTTCACTCATTTTCAATAGCCATTGACAAAACTTTTTAAGAAATCACAAACTATGTTACACCATGTTTCAAAAAGTTATCAATTATCTAATTTTAAAGAAAAATCAACACACATATTTAAAAGAAATCTTGTCAC